CTATCTATCTATCTATCTATCTATCTATCTATCTATCTATCTATCTATCTATCTATCTATCATTTAGTGTTAATTCTAAAAAAAATCCTAAAAAATTGTCAGCGCACTTTTTTCAATGTTTACTTAATGTTTTATTTTTTCACCATATCTTAACCAGACAAATCCCATTGAGATTGATTTTGCAAGGGAGGCCTGGGCCACTTCACCTCAGTAAGTACGTTTTTATTAATTTTTTCTTCCATCTTCAGATTCCCAGCACAGTTTTGAGGAGAGCGAGCGCAGGCGGGAGCGGTGGGAGCATCGGCGTCAGAGGAGGAGGAGAATTCGACAGCGTTCAGTGAGCAACGAGAAGTGGGTGGAGACTCTGGTGGTGGCTGACTCTAAGATGGTTGACTATCATGGGAGCAAAGATGTGGAGAACTACGTTCTTGCTGTCATGAACATTGTGAGTATTTAACATTAGAACTATGCTGATAATATAAGATATTTTGTTTTTAGCTTCTACAGCACTAATCAGAGTCCCTGACGTAAGCTCACCCTTAATGAAAAAAAGAAAAAAGCTCACAGCTTGTTTATCCACACATTGCTTCAACAAATAGTGCATAAAATTCCTATCACAAAGTACTCTTGTATCATATCATACAAATGTTTTACTCAGAACTATAGGGTGCCAAGTGAAAAATAAAATGTTAAAACATTGTCACTAACACATTTACATTCTTTGTAAAATCCCAGTTGAAAATTTCCTCTAACATATTAGCTCCCTGCTCTTACATTTGACTAATTTTTATTAAATGGTAAATTCAAACGTTCAAAAATATATGTACAAATTAAATCCTTAATCTAAACGTAAGAGTTTAATTTCAAAGTTAAATGTTGAAGTTTACATTTAAGCATTTCAGAATGGAGCACAACCTTTGCTGTTGGTGCTCAACTCAGCTCGTTATGATGTCATCATCCTGAGACAAAAGCAGCGCTAAAGCTTCTAATGCTGTTGAGGATGGTGTTTAAAGTCTAAATTCAAAATGTGTTTATTGAAAACAAAGATGCTCAAAATGATGTCATACTGCATAATCAAAACTCAAAAAGAAAAAATAAGTAGGTCCTCTGGATGGGTTCTTTAGTGAAATGTTTCATCTCTCCTCCAAGAGTCTTCTTCAGTCTGAGTTTCAGGTGAACTCAGCCTTATAAGCACTGCCTCCACATGGTGGACAAACAGGTTAGTCACATGCAAAAGAAGGCCATCGACAAACAATAGGCTTGATTGACTCTATTGTTCATAGAGGGTCATGTGCCCMATCACCTGACTTATTGGTTTTGATTTTTTTTCTACCTGGATTACTGAGATGCATCAGGACATAATCAAAACTTTTTTTTTAATCCAAAGTCACACAGCATTGAGTCTTAAGTCGTTTTTAAAAATCTTTCAACAATTTGCTTCTGAGAAGGCAGATGTTTGTACACTTTGATGTGACCTTGGGTTATGATTTTTCAARCTTTTTAAAGGTTTTGAATTTGGCTTTGAACACTGGCTTCCTTTTCATTGAAGTCCAGAAGTTGACTATTTAATTTCATTTCATTTCATTTTATTCATTTCTGAGTACATTTTACATAACTCAGCTCCTAAACTCATATAGTCAGTGTTGTTGACTCATAACAAACAGAAAAAAGTAACTACACAAATTGAATTTAGACAATTTATTTGTGACAACCAGTCACAGACATTTTTATTACCACTTCTTTAACTGAATCTATGAAAATGTTTCAAAGGTCGACTCCAGCCATGAAAATCCTTGAACGTCAAGAGGGTTTTCTCCTCACCCATTGTCATTTGACAAACAAAAAAATCCCAAAACTGTGAAACGTTAATGGCTCACAACATAAAGAGAAAGACAATGGAGAGTGGGGGAACTGAAGCTCACGGCTGTTTTAAGCTTAAAAAGTCAAATTGCTCTYGTCACAGTAAGAAACACAAAGAAGATGAGGCTCTGTTTTCAGTTTAGATGGCCAGTTGCAACATCTTAATAAAAACAGATACAAGGCAACTTAAACAGTTTGGATTATAACAATGCATTAAAAATAATGAAAACATTRACATCAAGGAAATTGTGAGACTAAATGATTCAAGTTTAGGTGTKTAGTGCTCCCATATGAAATAATTCAGGAAACTAAAGTTTGAGTTGCATTTGWATCTTTCACAATCTAGCTGATCTGTGCAAATCCTGTAGACGCAAGTGCAGTAAGTTTCTGATTTCTCTTCARGATCACTTCAAAACAAATGAAAACCTGCAGCAGGGGCAGCTTTATGCAAACACTTCATTCATCCTCTTTTATGGTAACCATAAAAAAATCTGAATCTTAAAACCTGTTGAAGGATTGTTTATTTCAGCTTCTTAGCCTGAGATGTGAACAGAAACAACTTTATCTGGAGTGTGAGAGGACTAAATTACCTTAACTGTAAGTGGCAATGAGACAAAAGATGGAAAGTTGTKGAATGATGTAAATGATGAATATTGTAGGATTAGTGGATCAGGATATATGCCATTTATTCGAAACATGTTTCATTTATTTGGTAGGTTTAAGTCATAACCCATTAAAAACAGTTGGTGAGAGATATGGAGCAGATCAACCCAGGGAACAGAGAAAAACTGGCACAAGTAAACATTGTTCATTTTAATAAAGAACGCTGATGCAACTTCTAGAATTCACGAGGAACAACGAGCACACAGGCTGAGGCTGACAGCACAATTATTCTACAAATACTGTGGGCACGAGGCAGAATATACAGACCAATTAATGAGGGGTAAACAAGAAACACCTGGAGGAGACACACGAGGAACAGGTGAGTGAAGGTGGGGCTAAACACTAGAAGGAGAAACAACATAAAACACAGAAAATACACAAAAAGACAGACCATGACAGTTGGTGGGGCGGGGGGTGGGGGGGTAAGTTTTTGAGATTTAAATAAAACCCAGTTTCTTTCATTTCTATATCATGCTCTTACTGCTTAGGCAATACATATCATTGCTGGATAGTTTGAAGGAAAATAAAACATAAAGTCAAAAATACTTCCAGATGTTCCGAAGTATCGTCCTACCAGAATCAGGAGGGGAAACTTCCAGCCAGAAATGATGTTTCAACTGACCAGGCGGACAATAATACACAAAGGAAGCAGCCATTATTCCATACTTCCTCTCATGGATCTCATCTTAGGCCTTTCAAGCTTTTATCTCTAAAGCTCCAAACTGTTTTGCTTTGTGAAAACAATATCACAGAGCTTCGCTGGAATCCGGAACAGATCCAAGCAATAAAGGCATCGTCTTCCTCAGAAACMAGTTGCTCCATCGTCTCATCACTGATGCCTGCAGCTCGACAACAGGTCCATATTTTATACAGCATGTTATGCTGCTCTTCTCGGAACCAGCTTCACTTTGTGACATGATGCTTAAAAATATATGTGGCTACTCATTATTATTACATTATTATTTACARTAATTCTCAACATGGTCTACACATGTAGGATTGTGGCTAAAATAGTTTTTCATAATGCTCGTTTTATGTCTTTTGGAATAACAAAATTAAAAATACRGTATTTAGTTTGTGTCACTGTGACYGCTAYCCTGCTGTCTGGTCTAGTGCCTCAAAATATATCTTGATAAATTGCAGATGGATAAGGGCAAAGCTGAGAGATTAGCACTAGGTTGTGATTTTAGAGCTAGTGTTGATTTCATGCATCTGAGTCGATCATAGCTGAGGGTCAACGATGGGTTTAAATGTAGCCTTTTCTTTGTTCTCAAAATCTGGATGTTTCACAAACATTTATGCCTTTTTTCAGTACTGTTACGCACCTCTAACAAACGTGGCTTTAAACAAGTCAAGCCTCTGCTATGGCCTTCACCTTACCTCTGCCTAAAACAAACACACTCAGAAATACAGCTCTGTACAGGAATATACTGCCTGTTGATACAGTATTACATCTGTAGATAACTGTCACAAATTCAAGAAAAGTATAAGCAAAAAAATATTTGTGTGATGTTGTTTCACTTTTAAAGAAACAAAACAATGAATTTGTTTTGTTAAAACCAGCAGTTTAGAAGAGCATAAAGTCACAGTTTAGCCTTCATGACGTGACAGCAGAGWCATGCACATTGACATTAGTAGCTCAAGACTGCAGGAAGAAAAAAATAATGGACCCAAAATAGCACAACATAAACAACAGAAACAATGGTGCTGAAAATATAAAGAAAGACTGMGTAAACATTTATTCATGATATTTTTGTATGACACTTCAAGTAAACCTAGTTTAATAATCATTTATGTGAATAAAAAGCACCTCAGTCTTTACACAGGGTGTAAAAACTTTGAATGCCYGTTTGAAAAGTCATTACCCACTTTTTGAACCCTTATTCTGCTTTATGCATCCTTTCAGCCAAGCTGTGAAATCTGCTCACTGCTTTTGTTGCTCTGAACATGTGCAACTTRAAATTATGTGATAACGAAAGAGTAAATTGTGAGCTCTGTTGGACAGACTGTAATCTGCTTTTCATAAGTCTTTGTCTTTATTAGATAGTGGTCAAACCAATTTTCTGCATGATTTTGCTACTGTCGCCAAAACATCAAGGCTGCAAAGAGTCAGAAAACCCTAAATTGTTCATTTTTTATTCATCTCGTCTTCCAGAATTCAAAGTAATTTTATCCCCTGCCACGAAAGGCAAACGCCTTTTGCCTTAATGTTTTTTTGTGTGTGTGTGTGTGTCTGAGCGTGGACACGTTTTTGCTACATTGTGAGGAACCATTCTCCAGAAAAACACAGACTCATGGTGACCAAAACCTGGTCCTCATTGGTAGTGTATGGATGCTGATTTTGAGTGTGGGTTTAGGTGTAGGACAAGGAAATCTTACCATGCAATTTTCTTACTCCATGGATAAATTATTTCACATAATTTGAGTCTTAATTTCCTCAAATTGTCAAATAATCTGCTAATGGAAATGAGACAATCRCAATTCTTGAAATGAGGAAAATGTCCAGGTTAACAAAATTAATAATTTAACACATTCTGCTCTTGTTCAGTGTWTCGGTCTTAAAGCAAGAAAAAAATACTTGTAAAGGGGCAAACTCATCTAAAATCCACATTTTTAGCCGTTGAATACATTTTGTTGTGTCCTTAGAGTCTCTAGGAGTGCAGAAAATTAGAATTTAGTCCACCCCGGAGCGGCATAGATTTTTTTTAATTCTGTTTGGATTATATTTGTCAACCTGTCAATTATATTTGATGTTTTCTCTATTTTCTATGATATTTTCTGAACTAGTATGTCTAATTATTTGTGACAAAACTGCCAAATAATGTCTGAACTTACCATCTACAAAATTTGTCGTTTTCATTCTCCTCTCTCTCTCTCTCTGGGTGGGGCTTTGGCTCCAACATGTAAGGCTGGATGGAAAAGTCTTCCATTGCTGACATTGTTTAATTAATTTGTAAATAAAAATCTTCTGCACAGCTATATGTTTGTACACCCCTCTATCACACTGGAGTGGACCAGCCTGAAAACTGGAGGGGAGCGGGGTGTAATGCATCTCCTTTGAACTTAAAGAAGGAGCTTCAAATCCCCATCAGACCAAAGCATTGTAGTTCCTCTTTATTAGATTAGAGAGACCTTTATTGTCATCGTACAGAGCACAATGAAATTACAGTTCAGAACATCCATTCAGAAGAAGACAGAACATAACAAACATGGGAGAACAGGTGCCCTGGGTCATGCAGCCATAGACCCTGCACAGAGCAAGGATCATCTTCATGAAGACATCATGAGGAGGCGCTACCCTTAAAAGAAAAACTAAAAACCACACAAGGGTAGATGAGGGAAAAAAACAAACAAAAACGTCATATTATATCAACACTGTGACACACTATGGTGTTTATAAAAAAACACCTCTTCATAGAGCAGATTTATTAGCCAGAGGAGTAAGTGAGTTTAGGGGGCCTGAAGAATCGAGTCCCCAAAACCAGCGCAGCCATAGTTCAGAATATTGATGGTAACTGTTCATTCTGTGTGGTCTTCAGCCTGCTCTAGGAACCAGATCAGACAGGTGTGAGAGGAGGGGGGAGGTGTGGGGCAGAGCCTCGTCGATGTAATCCAACCAGGAAGAATTTACTCAACAGATCAAGGCCGCTGTAGAGAGAGCCAGATTCTGTAATCAGTTGTTTTTGGAACAGAAGAGTCAGGCAGACGAKAACAATTTTCCATCTGTTTTAGAGTTTCTGTTGGTGCAGCTCAAGGTGGCGAATCCAATCAGACAAATAGTGTGGACAATTCCGCCGAGCCGATCTATCAACTTCTCCAAGATCAATTCCAT